GAAAACCCTCTACTTATTAATTAATTTAGATAGAATTAGTTTTTAGTTTTAATTTGCCATTCCCTGTATTCGATACCCTACTTATTTGACTATACCACAATTGAAAGGTCCACTGCCTTTGTGTGTTTATTTTTACAACTAAAAGTAGGTTTAAAACTAAGTGAGTTTTCACACATCAATATGCCTGGTATGTATGTGAATGTGCTAGTACTTTGTTGGTTAGGCATGGAAGACCCTGGTGGGAGCCCGTGGCAGTTGAATATTAGACCGTAGGGGGAGCCCATTTCCATCCAGGTAAAGACCATGAGGGGGAGCCCATGACACATAGGTATAAGACCCGGGGGAAGCCCACAACATCCTGGAGTAAGACCCTGGAGGGAGTCCATGACATCCCTATATGTTTAGATATGTGTTATGTAGTATGATAGTTATTTATATGATGTATGGCATGCTTGTTGACTCTGTTTCATTTACATGGAAGACCCCGGGGGGAGCCCATGACAATTGGATATTAGACCATGGGGGGAGCCCGTGGCATTCCAGGTAAAGACCATGGGGGAGCCCATGACACATAGGTATAAGACCATAGGGGGAGCCCACGACATCTTGGAGTAAGACCCTGGAGGGAGTCCACGGCATCCCTATATGTTTAGATATGTGTTATGAAGTATGATCGTTATTTTTGTGATGTATGGCATCCTTATATGTTTATATGCATTGTTTATGTGATAAGTGGTATACTAGTTGTTTATGCGATATGTAGTATAATAGTTGTTTATGTGATGTGCGATATGCTAGTTGTCTTTGCGATACTTGCATGGAAGACCCTGGGGGGGGGGGTGGGGGAGCTCGTAGCAGTTGGATATTAGACCATGGGAGGAGCCCATGGCATTCTACGTAAAAACCATGGGGGAAGCCCATGACACATAGGTATAAGACCCTGGAGGGAGTCCATGACATCCTTATATGTTTGTATGCATGACTTATGTGGTTTATGTAGCTGATATAGCTTATATGATTTACGTGATTAAGCAGATTATGTGGGGTATGCTTTAGGGAACTCACTAAGTTTCGTGCTTACAATTTTGTTTATGGTTTCAGGTATCACTGATTTGGAAAAGAAGGGCCCGACTTGATCGCAGTGCACATACTTGTGTTTCCTTAATATGTGATTTTGGTCTGAACTCTGATAAATGTTTTAATTAGTTGTAAAAACCTATTTAAACAACTTATGAGGCTTCCACCCCAGCATCCATCACCCCCAAGTCTTGTCCTGGAAACCCTTAGAAGTTGTGAGCATCTTTGAGCAATTTTTTACCATTTTTAAAGTAATCTTGTGTGATTTTACGCTTGTGTGAAGAAGAGGAAGAAGGAGGACTTCAAGAGAAGATTGTAAATCTAGGAACAACAACAGTTTCTCCCCACTTTCTGGTAATCAAACTCCATACTTGACTTGTGGTTTCATAGATCTCCTTGTGGTCATTTTTATGGAGTTTTGGGTCCAAGAAGCTTAATCCTTGGGACTTGGACGTCCTAAGTTAATATATATTCGGATCTGGAACCTTAGAGGGTCCTCATGGCATAAATGTGCCATCTTTATGGCCATAAGAACCCCATGTATGAAACAAACCTCATTTTCGGTCCTTTGAGCATAAAAGTCCCATGCATGTACGTAAAGTTCATGACTTTATGTGTTAAACCGACTTAAGGAGCCCATATCTACCTTTTAGATGAGAGTTGTACATCAGAAATCGAGTTATGGACTTGGACAATAGTCAACTCGACGAGTCGTTCTTGGGACTCGGCGAGTTCAGGGGTTTGGTTCCCCCAACCTATTGCGATTCACAGGAACCCATTTGAGTTTAGAAGGAATGTAGTTGAGTCCAAAAGAAGGACCCAACGGAATAGACATAACTATGGACTTGGAAGTCATGGGACTCGGCGAGTGTATGAATGCACTCGACGAGTCCAAGGCTATCTCCCAACCCATGAAGATGGACTCGACGAGTTGTTAATATAACTCGGCGAGTCACATACTAGACACGTTCATATGACGAAGATAAACTCGACGAGTTCAAGGATGAACTCGGCGAGTGAGTTGAATATTGTCCCGATGATATGAATGAAGAAGAACTCGTCGAGTTCTTGCTAAACTCGACGAGTTGAGTCGGGTTGGGGGACAGATGATGGGATAGGGACTCGACGAGTTGGCGGGCCAACTCGGCAAGTCGAGTCAATTGGAAGTTGACTTTGACCAAGATATTGATTGTGGACGGGGGCAAAATAGTCATTTTACCCTAAGATTAGTTACCAGTTTTTGACTATGTGTCTTTATGGAAATTATAGTCGGAGAGTTGCCGGAGCAGCAGACAGAGATTTCTCACTGAAAGTTGCAGCAGTCAGTCACATGAGGTGAGTTTTCCTTCAGTAGGAACAAGTCTAAGGCACCAATGTCGGCCTGTTTAAGTAGTAGAGTATGTCGGGGTTAGCCCGATGCAGTTTATATGTTTCTGGACTTCGGTCCGATGCCGAGGCGGTCTCGAGAAGTAGTTATGTATGCTTGATGTCTTTGTGATTCATGCATGTTTATGTGTTATATGTTATGTATTCCGGGATAAGCCCGATGTAAGTTAGTCATTATGCCATGTATTATGTACTTCGGGGCAAGCCCGATGTATGCTAGTTTATGTGTTATATGTGTTGTTTCGGACTTCGGTCCGATGCTGGGGCAAGCCCGATGCAGAATATGTGACTATGTTATGTGTTTATGATTTATGTTATGTTGTGTATGTGTCGGGGTAAGCCCGATGCCGGGGTGAGCCCGATGCCTGATGCGGTTGGATGCTGGGGTGAGACCGATGTCGGACAGGAGTCCGATGCCGGGTAAGCCGATGCAGGATTCGTCCCGATGCAGTTTGGAGCAGTCCCAGATTTATGTTATTTGTTATATGTGGTTGTATGGTATGTGGTAGTTTGGGGGGGGGGGGGGGGGGCTCACTTAGCTTCGTACTTACAATTTCAGTTTTGGTTTCAGGTACTTCAGCTAGCAAACGGAAGGGCTCGAGCTGATGGCATGACACACACCATATTCTATTAGCTGGGAGTTTATTATGATATTTTATATGATACTGTGATATGTTGTCAGATTTATGAGATTTTGAGATACATGTTCTATGATGATATTTATGTTTATAGTTTGATTTTGAAATCAAAATTTTTGGCTAGTATTTTTGGGATGTTACATTAGCAATGTTTTTGGAATACTTGGATTTAAAAGATATATGTGGTTTGACTATAATAAAAATAAAATTTTTACCCTTGATTTTTTTGTCGTTACAAAAAAAATACACAAACAGATTTTTCCCAACATCATCATCCATTATATCATTTGAAGACAAACAGACAAATGGTTTAATCGTACTGTACATATAAAACCTCACTACAATAAACCTAATCTACTCTCAGTATTTCACTCAACCTATTCTATAAGAAGAATCAAGAACAACGATTAAACATGAAACCCTAATTCTATACAGAAAGAGGGAATGAGAGAGAGGTAATCTAATAGAGCGTAAAGAGAAAACTGAACCGACTAATTTGCTGCAACGAATCGTCTCTCCTTTAAGTACCCGGGTAAACGAGTCTCTTTAACCCGTGTGTCAACTCGAACCCAAATAAGAAAATAACATATTACAACCCACAAGAATCATCCACTTTACACAAACTATCTATATCACTATAAATATCAAAACCAACAATAATTAAACTTATCTTTTAAACCCTGCAAGAACAATGAATGTTAAGTTTGCATACTAAAACATATTTTTTAACATAATTTTTCATTTAATTTAATTGTTTTTGGGTGTACTAATAGTTCGATTGTAATAAATCTACATGAATTGTGTTAATCCTATTCCATTCCATGATGATACGAAAGAGAAACACGTTTAAACATGTATTCCATTTGGTCTTATATTTTACAAACTTGTTCTTATTGGAAGATGTTTTATTTTTCTTAATGGGTTAAAAATTAAAACCCATGGATATATGGGTTGAACAAAGGAGCCAGAAAACTATCAAAATCAACTCCAAAACCCGAAAAATCGGACCGACTAAAAAACCAACCATATTGGGTTCTAAAAACCAGAAACCGACCATTTATGGGTTGAGTTCGGTTTGGATCCCAAACCGATCCAAACCGACCCATGCACAACCCTATCATTTAAATTAAATGCGTTAAAAATATCAACTCAACCTGCTTGGGTTGGGCTAAAGGGTTGGATCAAATTTTCCGGGCTCTCCTGATATGTGCATTGTTGAAAGTTAAATCGCGAACGAAGCAAAACATTACTACACGCAAAAAAGTAAGAAGTTGACATAAACTATATAATATTAAGAAGAGACAATTATATATTCTTTGAAATATTTGAAAAGTGTTCTAAATGTTTTTCAATGATTTTTTGTATCAGAAAAACAAATTCAATGGTCTACAATTACTAGCACACAATAATAGTAATTACTTTAAACTTAACTATTTAGGTTGTGATCCGTGACACTATCTAGCCCCTATGGCCATGAAGGTTCATCTGTAGTGATTTTAGGATATGAGACATATTCTCATATTTATAGTGGGAGAATAGCCACTACTCAAAAGTTGACTCGAAGCCTTTATTAGGGAAGTTCCCACTAAAAAAATGGTTATATTGTGAGATATTTTGTCTTGTTGCCCGTTTGCCTTCAATCAATATATATTGAACTATATTTTTCTAATTAAAAAAATGTTATTATTTAAAAAAAAATTATGAGACATTTTTATTTTACATGTCACTTTGAATAACTTATTTTTATTCCACGTAAAAAACAAGTATAAAAAATGTAGTTATCAATAAATATCCAACATTATCCATTAAATAATCGAAATAAAATGAAAAATCCATTGTTGGATTTTTGTATTGAGGTCCACAGAATTATTCCACCATCATCATGTATCCAATAAAAGCAATATGGATTCATGCGATATGACAACATCTCCATGGATTTTAAAATATGTGGTTTCATCCACTAAATTTGTATTAGGTTCCAAATTTACAAGTCACTAGATGCAAACTTTGGGACATCAATGGATTAATCAAATATTCAGAAGTACAGGGGTCCGTTGGTCATTTTTATAGAACTGGAAGGGCTTTTATGTAGTTTATATAAAGAAAATAATTAAAGAAAAGAGATAGTGCCCACACACGTGGCAATAAACACACCTTCTTCCATTGAAGATCCGCTGCTCCGGCTATACTACATAAATTGTTCCTCCCTCACGATGCTCTATTGTCGCTACCTGAAACCCAACTACACACACTACTGTGTGAGAGAGACAACGATAATTCATATAGGGAGTTATAGAAACAGATAAAGGGAAGTGGAGGAGGGCGACTGATAATTGGAGGAGATGGTATGTTCGGCTCGACTACTGGATGCTTCATATCCCCTAACGCCGTCGGTTTCCTCTTATACCCCGGCCGCGTATCATAACTCGAGATACTTATGTCGAAACCTAAAATCTACTGTCAGATGGCGATCGAAGGCATCGTCCGATCCAGATGCTTCTATGTTTTCAGCTGCTGCTTCGATTGATGCTGACTCAGCGGAGAAAAACGCGGCAGGGTAATCATCTATTCTTTCCTTACATATTAATGGTGCGTTTCGGCCTAAATGACACAATTCTGTTTGTGGATTTAGTAGTTGATTGCAGCTTATGCTATGTGGTTGCCTTGTTCTCTCAAATTCGTTACCTTACAGGCGTAATAAATTGTGTACACTACGTAATATTGCTTTGAATCATATGGTTTAATTTACTGATGCAGGTTCTGTATAATCGAAGGACCTGAAACAGTTCAGGACTTTGATAAAATGGATATACAAGAAATTCAAGATAATATTAGAAGTCGTCGGAATAAAATATTTTTACACATGGAGGAGGTGAGCAAGTTTCTCGGAATTTTCATCTGTAATATTGCGTGAGTTATCTAATTGCGTTATGCTCTAGTTTTGTAAGATGATTGATGCTCACTTGAACATTGGTGGGAATTGGGATGGTATACTTTTCTCAGGTCCGCCGGCTAAGGATACAACAGAGAATAAAAAGTGCCGAACTTGGAATCTCAGATGAAGAACAAGATGGCGAGCTTCCCAACTTTCCTTCCTTCATCCCCTTCTTGCCTCCTCTGGTATATAACTTTCTCTTATTTCATTGACTATCCGCGCCAGATAATGATATCCTAATGCATTTAGAATACAGGAAACTTGGTTATCGATTTCATCTTAGTTTTCTGTTTTCTTCATGTGGCAACTAAGAGTTTTCTATCTTTTCAGACCTCAGCAAATCTCAAACAATACTATGCCAGCTGTTTTTCTCTAATTTCTGGAATTATTATTTTTGGAGGTCTCCTTGCACCTACAGTAAGTTTCTTTTCCATATATACGACAAAAAAATCAACACATGTACTATGCAGTTTTTCTTTAAAACTCTATGAATTATGATCTCAGTTGGAGCTGAAATTAGGAATAGGAGGGACATCATATGCAGATTTCATTTCTAGCATGCATCTTCCTATGCAGTTGAGGTATAAATTAATAAAATTATGCAATTCGTTACAATTAAATCCGATTGTTTATCATTTTGATGCACAAATTCAGTGATGTTGATCCGATCGTGGCATCATTCTCTGGAGGAGCAGTTGGTGTGATTTCAGCCTTGATGGTGGTTGAAATAAACAATGTAAAACAACAAGAGCATAAAAGATGCAAGTATTGTCTAGGAACAGGTAATAATAACAACAAATAAGCAAGCATGTTTGAATCTGATTTGTTATAACAAGTTAACAAGTGAAGTTTATTGATGAGATGTGATGCAGGGTATCTGGCTTGTGCTAGGTGTGCTAGCACAGGGGCAATTGTTCTGATTGATCCGGTTGCATCTGCTAACGGTGGAAATCAACCGCTTTCACCACCTAAAACAGAACGATGTTCCAACTGCTCGGGTGCAGGAAAAGTAAGTTGAATGTTGTGAAATTTGTTTTTTGGAATGTAAGGGTAAAATGGTCATTTAGTCAGATAGATTATATGATTGTTTATTTATTTATTTTTTACTTGATTTCATTTTGCAGGTTATGTGCCCAACTTGTCTTTGTACAGGAATGGCTATGGCGAGTGAGCATGATCCACGCATTGACCCGTTTGACTAAAATCAAATCGGATCTCACCTCCGCCTGTGACATAGTAATTTGATAGTTCTTACTTTACATAAGGCAGATGAAATCCTTGTGGTCAGTAGTTTGTATTTGTATTGTACAACTCTTTAAATACATTCTTGCATGAGTTTTATATACTTTATTATATACGACTGTTGTATTTTTATTTTGAATTACAAGGCTCAAGTGTATACATTCTGCAATGATTCCCTCCTCGTTCTAGTAGAGTCGGGTCAGTTTAAAGTGATGCAGAAAAGATCCTGTGATGCTTTGATTCGCGCCAATCACTCTGTGGGTCTCTTTCCCGTTTTATAAAAAGTTAATTTATCTCTTATTATATATATATATATATATATATATATATATATATATATATATATATATATATATGTCAAATCAAACATTCAATTTTCAAGAAGAAAGTATAAAATAGTATAAGACACTGTCAAACACGAGATAAGAAATGGATCATGATAGAATAGACTTTGACTTTTCAAGTAAACGCTAACAGCATGCAGGATGCCAATTATGTCCACATAAAAACTCATATTCAACTTTTGCTAGTTAATAAGGCCGGGTGTCTAAGTATTTGGTCAAAGAAAAATGAAAGCATAAGAATCTCTTGACATAAAGTGACTATTATTATCATCTTCATTCTTCATCATCAATCAATATGAGTATTGGTTTTTCATTTCGACATTTCTCTTCCTTAATTGTTGTTGTAGTTGTGGTTTTATTTCCTTTATGCACGTCATCCAGTAATGATGTGTTATGCAAGGATGATGAGAGACGAGCCCTTCTGGAGTTCAAACACGGACTCATAGATGAAGCAGATCGACTTGCTTCATGGGTTGGTGAGAAGACCGATTGCTGCACTTGGACTGGGATTGTTTGTGACAACTCTACTGGTCATGTACAAAAGATTCATCTTTCTAATAATCATTGTTATACTGATGAATATAGCACAGCCAAAGAATACGAAGAATGCTTCAATCAAAGACTAAGAGGGAATTTAAGCCCATCCCTGCTGCATCTGAAGCAACTCAAACATCTAGACTTGAGCAGCAATAATTTCGGTGGAATCCAAATTCCTAGCTTTATGGGTTCTTTTAAAAACATGAGATATCTTAACCTGTCGCGCTCTAGATTTGGTGGAAGTATCCCCCCTCAACTAGGGAATCTATCCGAATTGCGCATCCTCTCTCTCGGAAGTTTTCACAATGCTATATTTGAGCGTGAGTTAACTAGCATGAGTAATAATATGCATTGGTTGTCAAGCCTCCATGGGTTGCATCACCTGGATATGAGTGGTGTAGACTTAGGCAAAGTAACTGATTGGGTTCAGGTGATTAACACTCTCCCTTCTTTGGTCGAACTACATCTGTCTCATAGCAATCTCTCACATACACATGTAGATATCTATCCCAATGTTGCTAGTCTTAATCTCACATCCCTAGTCCACCTCGATCTTTCAGATAACTATTTCATTAACAGTTCCCTACCACAGTGGATTTTCAGTATAACTACTCTAGTTTCACTGGATCTAAGTTGGTGTGGTTTTCATCATTTCTATAATCCTAGCAGTATTGATCTCTTCAGTAATTTGACTTCTGCTGAGTTGCTTCACGTCCCAGGTAACCCTTTCATGAACTCTCGGTTAGTACTGAAAGGGTTGTCTAGAAGTGTAGGTCGTAATCTGTTTTCGTTAGATATTAGATTTTGTGGCGTTTCTAGTTCAGTTCTTGATGATGCCCTTCACAACTTGACTTCCCTTCTTAGCCTTGATTTGTCAGAAAATGAACTCACCAAAACAATCCCCAAGTCATTGGCTAACCTTTGCAATTTGAGACATGTCAATTTGGGAGGTAACCATTTTTCTAATACTAGTTTAACAAGTGTGCTTGAAAGTTTTTTTGAGTGCAAGCTACCAAGTTTGGAGTCATTATCTGTTGGGTCCTCTGGACTTTCTGGTCAACTGCCATATGAAATCGGACGACTGACATATCTTGTGGATCTCCAACTTGGAGGAAACGGGTTTGTTGGTATGATTCCAGATTCAATCGGGCGATTATCTAGTCTCAGGTCATTAAATCTTCAAAACAATCTTATTTCTGGTCCGATTCCGTACTCAATTGGAAGATTATCATCACTGGAGATGTTAGATCTTTCAGATAACCAACTGAATGGCAGCCTTCCTCATGGACTTGGTCAACTTTCAGAGTTGCTTCTCTTAGCTTTTTCTAACAATCGGTTGACCGGTTTGGTGACAAAATCTCACTTTGCAAAACTAGCAAGACTGAAAATCCTGCTTGGAGCAGGCAACAACTTAACCCTCAGATCACACCTTGCAAACTGGATTCCATCTTTCCGGTTAAGAATGTTGTCTCTAAGTTGTTGGGATCTAGGGCCTCAATTTCCATCATGGCTTCAAGTGTACATGGATTTAGTATATGTGGATATAAGCAACGCTAGGATTTCATCAACCATGCCTGATTCATTTTTGAGATCATTACCCAATCTACTCTTTCTGGATATGTCACAAAATCATATCCAAGGAATATTTCCCGCTCGTATGATCCCAGCATCAATTCAAGTACTCGATGTGAGTTCTAATGAGTTTGGCGGGTTGTTACCTCAACTCTCAAATGGAAATGCTTCATCTGCATTGATCCTGGATCTGTCAAATAACTCTTTTTCAGGGTCCTTACGTCATTTGTTGTGTCCTAACAATGAGAAAGTGGTAGCTGTTCTTAATCTGGCAAATAATCGTCTATCAGATATCATTCCTGATTGTTGGCTCAAGTGGCCGAGTTTGTCATTCTTAAACTTGGCAAACAACAATCTGTCTGGTAGGATTCCAACAAGTTTGGGGTCTTTATCTTCACTAGGATCATTGAACATGTGCAACAACAAACTCTCTGGAAGATTTCATATAAAGAACTTGACAAACTTGCAAATCCTTCAACTTGCTGGGAATGAACTTGTTGGAACAATTCCGGCATGGTTCGGGAGAGAACTTCCCAACTTGAGAATACTCGACCTCCGATCAAACAATTTTAATGGAGATATAACTCATCAGCTGTGTAATCTTACCTCAATTCAGATTTTGGACCTTGGAGATAACAATCTATCAGGAAATATCCCAACATGCTTTATAAATTTTGGTTTTCTAACTGGGAAAGAAGCCAACTCAAAAGATCAGTTTAATTTCTCACCATTTCAAGGTATGGATGCTTTGGGTAGTGCTTCATTGGTGATAAAGGGACGAGAGGACACATACAACACGATTCTTGGATTAGTGATGGTTCTGGACCTTTCTAGTAACAACTTCTCCGGGCAAATCCCCAGTGAGCTAATGGACCTCAAGGCGTTACGCTCATTGAATTTATCAAGAAATCAGTTGACAGGAAGAATCCCAGACAAGATTGGAGACTTGAAATTACTTGAATCCTTCGATGTATCTCTCAACTCCCTTTCTGGGGAGCTTCCTTTGAGCTTCTCAACCTTAAGTTTCTTGAGTAACTTCAATGTGTCCTTCAACAATCTGACTGGAAGAGTCCCATCATCCACACAGCTTCAGGGTTTCAGTGAGTCCAGCTTCTTGGGCAACAAACTTTGTGGAGATCCACTCACCAAAACTTGTGCAGTTGAAGCACCCGACACAAACCAAGAAGAAGACAAGAATGGGTCACATGGAGCAGATTGGGGATTGATTATTTGCATAGTTTCTGGATTGATTGTTGGTTTTTGGGCTGTGTTGACTCCACTTATACTCAGCACCACATGTAGGATTGCATATTTTGGTTTCTTGAATGATCTGAGGTACATGATTTGTGATGTTATTCGTATCTACTGGTGTACCATGTTTTGTAAGTAATGAAGAATGTAATAAATTTGTAATATGTTTCAGTTTCAGTTTGAAAAATAGCAACTTGTATCTTCTTAATAAGCTTGGATCATCAGTTTACCCATAACAGCAACACACTCAACAAAAATCTTTCTATATATTGAGCAATATCAAGAAACATACACTTAATTAACGACTAATGGAAACATTATACAGCTTTACTAACATATCATATATTTATATATAATTGTCAGAAAGAGCTTCCAAGGTGAAGCTCGGTTGGTTCCAAGGTGGCACGTTTGGGTTTTGAGATAAAGATGCCAAAAACCTTATGCCATACTTTATTCAAGAACCCAAAATATGTGATTCTCCATATTCTATTCACTGCCAATGGTCCAACCACCACCCAGAATCCAAAGAAGAATCCAACCACCAAACACACTACCAACACCCAATCAACTTCATTTCCTTCATCCCTGTTTTCTTCGTCCTTTGTCTCATCAACATGAGCTAATGATCCACATAGATTCTCAAGAGGAGGCCCACAGAGCCTGTTGCCAATGAAGCTGGACTCATTGAAGCTCTGAATCTGAGTGCTTGTTGGGATTCTTCCTGTCAAACTGTTGTAAGATACGTTTAACCAATTCAAGAAAGTCAAACTTGAGATTCTCCAAGGAATTCCTCCCTGAAGCAAGTTGGAAGACAAATCCAAAGATTCAAGCAAGCGCATGCCTCCAACATTCTCTGGAATCCCTCCTGTCAACTGATTTCCCGAAAGATTCAAATAACGCAATCCCACAAGCTCCATCAACTCATCAGGAATGTTCCCAGAAAATCTGTTTCTTGAAAGATCTAGGGTTGTCACCAAATAAAGAATAGTGCTATATGAACTCTCTCTACCCTTTGTCACCAATGATGCACTTCCTAGAACTTGATTTTGGTCGAATTCATCATAGAGAATGATAGGAGTTGAGCTTTCTTTTCCAGACATTATGGTGAAGTTGTTGAAACATGTTGGTATGCTCCCCGAAAGATTGTTGTCAGCAAGGTCTAAGATTTGAATTGAAGTGAGATGACAGAGTTCATTAGGAAACTTTCCATCCAACATGTTTGAACGAAGGCTTAGAAGTTTCAACCTTGTAGCTTTCCTCCCGTTTGGGGTGAGTGTAATTCCAGTGAGTTTGTTATCAGCAAGATCAATGATTAACAAGCTCTTTGAACTCATCACAGACACATGTATCTTTCCAGAAAGATTGTTCCTGCGTATGTTTAATGATCTAAGAAAAGGTACTTCTCCCACAGATCTTGGGATTCCACCCGATAATCTATTGTTCTCCAAGTTTAAGACATATAAAGAATCCCAGTTCACCCAACAATCTGGAATAGCACCAGAGAGGTTGTTGTTTGCAAGATTAAGAACTTTTAGCTGTCTTGATTCCTGGATCTTTGGACACAAGAATTGCTGTAGAGACCCTGAAAGATGATTTCTTGAAAGATCAAGAAAATCTATGTCAGGTCTGTTGAAAGAGCTAGGTAATGGACCATAGAAAGAGTTGTCACTTAGATCTACTACTGCATTTGTAGCAAGGAATTCAAGATCTTGTGTCAACTTTCCTTGGATTCTGTTGTGGGAGATGTTTAAGAAATCTATGCTTGAGAATGTACTCCAAAACCAATCTGGCATGACGTCTGAAATGTTTGTGTTTGATATATCTAACTCGGTCAAGTTTCTCTGAAACTGAAGCCACGAAGGAAAACGAGGGCCTAAATTCCAAGACCCAATTCTCAACACATCTAGTTGGAAAGAAGGAACCCAATCTTCATTAACATTTGGTTGCAATTGCAGTGTCAACTTGTTATTCTCACCCCATAAAGTTTTCAACGCTGTAAGATTTGTCAACTGATTTGAGTTGACTGAACCATTCAATAGATTGTTATAAACATTCAAAAAAGTCAATCTCGAAAGGTTACCTAAGCTTTCAGGAAGACTTCCGATTAATAGGTTGTTTGACAGGTCTAACCTATCTAAATACGAAAGTCTTCCTATTGAATTTGGGATTTGACCAGAGATTGAATTGGCGTTGAGTATTAACGTCTTTAGATTTGGCAACGTTCCTATAGACTCTGGGATTTGACCGGTTAAAAAGTTGATTCCAAGATCAAAGGTGATCAGATTCTTTAGAACTCCAATTTTTTCAGGTATATAGCCAACAAGATCATTGCCCCAGAATCCTATAGACTCAAGCTTAGATGATTTACATTCACACAAGTTTTGAAGAAGCTCGGTTATACTTCCATACAAATGGTTAGCCTGAAGTGCGATGGACCTTAAGTTACACAGATTAACCAATGAAGTAGGTAACGACTCATTGAGAATATTGTTTGACAAGTCAAGGCTAACAAGGGAACTCATATTCTGCAGGTCATGGAGGATTGGACGTGTCAGAATGCAACTACTGATATCTAGAGAAACAATATTTGTTAGGCTCGATAACCCCTTCAGCAGTGATGAATGATTCATAACATCATTGCCAGAAACATGAAGAACCCTAAGGGATGTCAATTTCTGAAAACCAACACCGAATCCAGGGGCCAGATTATGAAAAAAGCAGTTGGTGAGATCGATGGAAATGAGGCTAGTTAGGTTGAAGATCCAGAGAGGCAGAAAACTGGTATCGAAAGTGTTGTAGGAGAGATCGAGGATGGAAAGTGATGTAAAATTAACAGTATTTATGTGACGAGGGATTTTTGGTAGTGAACAAGAAGACAAACGCAATTCTGACAAAGAAGGAAGAGTGTTCATCACCTGTAGCCATTCATCTTCACTACTGAGATCGTAACCAGTCAAATCAAGGTGCTGCAACATACGAAGAGGAGACAGCCACTTTAGATTCTTCAAAGGAAAATTGCTCTGCCATAACCCGAATCTGAGATCAAGAATACGCAACATGGTCAGATTCCCTAGATTGTGAGGGATCTGTCCATCGAATCGAGACATTGAGAGATTAAGATATCTGAGACTCCTCATGGACGCAATGAAACCAGGAATTGGGATCCCTCCAAAATCATTGCAGCTTAAGTCCAAGTAGTTAAGCTGCTTCAACGACAGCAAGGAAGGATTTATATTCCCACCCAACATCTGTTTCGATGCTGCATCGAGTTCAGCATCGGTATCATAAGAACCGTGACAATGACCATGGAGCCCATCAGCAGGCCCACCAAGGTGAATCTCTTGGACATGACCCGTAATGTTATTGCAAACCACGCCAACCCATTTGCAGCAGTCATCGTTGTAGCCGGTGCTCCAAGAAGAGAGCCTGTCGGCAGCATCTATCAGATCAGTTTTGAACTGCAGAAGAGCTACTCTCTCACTCTCGATACATAGAAGATCATTAGAGTCTTCACTGCATAGGCAACAACAGCATAGTGCTAAAACAATCAGAAACTGAAGTAAACGAGAAGAAGAAGCAGAAGAGAAAAGCATGAAAGATTTCATTTCATTTCAGTATGCCTGCAATGGAAATATGCAATCGCTGACTTATGGTAAGCGAATGCATGTAGTTCAGTTAGATGGTTATATATACATTCAAATTCAGCGAAGGAAGATAATTAATTAGGAGTGAATATTTTTTCAAGTCTTGCATCCACACTGATTGTGTATTTTCCATCTCAAACTCCGTACGTACCCCACTTGATGAAGTGACATAAAGTTGGTCTACTAGGTCGACTGTGTAGTCCTATATACGACCAAAAATGAAAAATGGGCCCTTCATCTATTAGTTCCAGAGACATTGTATCGTACGATGATGGACAAATGGTTTGAATTAAAAATTAGGAATCAACGGTGGAAGACTTTTTATTGCAAATGGACAAAAGGTTTGACAAGCAGTCAAGCTGAGAGCAGAAGTCGACTGTCGACTGGTGGATGACAAAGTATAAGATGTCGTTTGGTTAAGGAAATGAAATTTGGAAGAATTGTAATCTAATTCAAAATTTTGCAATTAGGAAATGAAATTGAAATTCAATTATTGGAAGGAAATATAATTATAAAGATACAAAATAACATAATTATCCTTTTTTTTTTTTTAATTTTTTTTTAATTTTACTTTGTTTTATAAATTATATGTGGTGGTTGGTGATGGTAACAGTGGAGGCAACTGTGGTGGCGGGTAGTGGCGGATGCAGTGGTGGTGATGGATGGTAGTGGTAGCATTATAGCGACGTCGTTGATGGTGGTGGTAGTGGTAGCGGTGGTGGTGGCGGCGGCGGTGAGTAGTGGTGGCCACAACGATAGTAGCGGTTGTGGTGGCGCCGTGTCGGGTGGTGGTAACATGTAGCGATGGTGTAACGTTCGTGTTTCTCGCTAGACATTAATATAATTATGTAATAGTTAGGGTCAACAATTATAATATATTTGATGTAATAAAAGAATGATTATTTGAGTATTATAAGAATATGTGTAATTATGTGTAATGTATGTGTTTATAATGATATAATAAAATATAAATAAAATACGCGTCTAAAGTAGAATAATAATTAGACCTAATATCCTTGAAGAAAGTTGAAGTAGTCATGTCAAGGACTCCGGAAATATAACAAACGCTGAAATCCGACATATAACAAAAGAAGTTATGACCCGTTGAAGTATTACAATTAAACTGACACGGCTCTGCGTATCGTAAAAAGTAAATTTTTGATAAAATACTTTTTAGTCTTAGTGATCTAAAAAGAATTTATAGTAGTCGTCAAACCGAGAGCGTGCATATAGAAAACGTTTAAATCTGACTTCATTAGAGGAAGTTACGATTTTTATAAGATTCAACGTAGTAGTATACAACTCAGAATTCGAATTTTAGATCGGTTGATTTTTAGCCAAAACAATTTAAATGAGTTGAAGGTAGCGTTGATAGGAGTTCAACAATATAAAGACAGTTGAAAACAGGGACGACGAAGTTATGAATTTTTAACGGACTTTAACAATCTATGCCTGTTAAAATATAACTTTAAAAATAAAGTCAAAAGTAGCCAACGAAGTTTAAACAAAAGTTATAGATCTCATCGGTAGCTACGCATGAGTATAAAGAACGTAAAAAAAGAAGCTTGTATGTGAAAGTTATGAGTTTTACAAGATAACTAATTTTTGGCTAACGGGGGTGCAACACATGTCGCAATCAGTCGAGTGTGAACCAAGGGCAATGCCTGTGCAAGAACCAACCACAATGGCAGGAGTCCAGGCAACGATTCAGACTATGATTGCTGATCAAAGGGAGTAAAGGAGAAAAATGTTACGAGAGAATAGGAATGAACCTACTATACCTATTGTACAAACTGAACTGAACATAAAACAGTCAGAGGAAGGAAACTATAGTCGGACTGTTAGTAAAGTTGATCGATGTGTAGTTAGAAGAAACCAACCCGATGGAGGAAACGGTAGATGTGGATGCAAGTACACGGATTTCATGGCATCCAATCCACCAAGTCTTTCTGGAAGCCCAACACCGGTGGAAGTCATGGATTGGATCTCTGAGATGGAGATGATGTTTAAAAGTTGCAACTTCAACAACAAGCAGAAGATTGTTCTCACGGTTAAACAGTTGAAGACTAGGGTATTAAGCTGGTGGAAGTTACTAGTTGATACCATGCCGAAAGGAGAAGCTAGTAAGATATATTGGGAAGATTTTTTAGTGTAACTAAAAATGCAGTACTGCTCTGAGCAGGATCTTCTAGAGATCAATAACAAGTTCCAGAATCTGAAGAAGGGAAAGATGAACGTCAACGAGTAGGTTGCAAGTTTTATGGAGAAATTGAAGCTTGTTCTTTATTTGGTTCCAACTAAACTATCCAAGGTCATCAAGTTTGCTAATGGATTGCCATCGGACTTCGGTCCAATGGTCAAACAAGCAACCACCTTGAAAGCCGTCATATGGACAACTAAGAATATTGAGAACCAGTTAAGGGAGAAGGGCCTCGAGAGAGATGAGGTAGGAGAGAAAATGAAGTTTGAGGGATCTTTAAGATCCAACAAGAAAAGCAGATTCTCAAAGTCTGGTTCCAAGAAGGTTGGAGGAGGTGAAGCAAAATGGTGCGAGAAGTGCAAGAAGAAGCACTCTAGGAAATGTGGCGATGAGTTGACCTATTTCAAGTGTGGGAGAACTGGTCATTACACCAATGATTGTACGCCCGACATACGAGAGAGACCAATTTTGCTAATTAATTCATTTTCAAGGGCTTCAAAGGTGTACCTGATTTGGAGTGTTACACAAGAGTCACAAAGACAACTAACATCCTACATAGTATACTAAGAAGACTCAGCTTACAATCAAACCCAGAAGTATCAAAGCTCTCATAGGCGAAGAGTTGGTCCTACACACCACCTAGTGAAACATTCAAGGTCAAACCTCAGTCTACCTTCTACAAACTACCAATTAACCAAAAGTCAAATGGTCAACGGTCACTATGATGTGACCAACTATTGGCCACATCATTGCAACAAAATGACAAAACAGGCGTGAAGTCCTCATTCACCATGTCGTAGTGAGCAATATGCCACGCTGTGGTCTTTGGCTGAAAATAACATAATTGATTAAGTTCTTAATTTGATAAGCCTTTTGCTTAAACTTTCTAGAATGCTTCTTGGGACCATAAAGGTTCATAAAAATACAAACTTTATGGACATGCATGTCCTTCACTTAATCTAGGTCAAAAGGTAAATAATGTAGTCTAAACTCCACGCATGGCACTAAAATTGCACAAGAGCTCAAATCTAAAACATATAAGACGTTTAGGACTCCCAAGACTCATCAAGTTGCAAACTTTAGGGTAACCAACCATTCAAACTTCACCCAATGGACTAAAAGAGCTTAAAACCTAAATCTATAAGAAACCAACCATCAAGATATGAAATAGAAGACTTATAAAGGTCCAGAAGTTGCTCAAAAGAAATCCTTAAGCTTGCCAAGAGGCTCCCTTTGTCACACCCCTGAACCAGGCGGCGGAAACGTTCGGGGGCTGTCGTGACTCAATTGAATACCATAACATTGAATATATATGAAACGTAACAACATTCGTCACCATGCATTAATATAGTACAACCAGTAAAGTTTACATGAAGTACATTGTTTAAACATTTCATTCCCAAAAATAAATTGTTCAATTCGTTAATAAATAAACTGCAAGCCATCACTGAGTACGATTTCCTTGAATTCACTGGTTACCTGAGAATACAAGTATTTTGAAAAACGTCAACATATGAAATGTTGGTGAGTTCATAAGCGGTATTTGAAGAAAAACAATGTTTCGTATCATTTGAAAATCACCAGAAAATCCGATATTTTCTGAAAAGAAAAGCTTTTGAAAACGTTTGTGAAGATCCATAGGTATGCTCGTTTGTTTCTATACTTGTAAAAATTGTTCATTGAAGATGTATGCATTTCAAATCTGTATGTATTGAAAACCCTAGGAAAACCCGATGTTTTCCTAATTCCTTGAATTCCATGAAGTCACATTGAAACCATTGCATAGCGCGTAGTGTTAGTCCCAGGCGACGTTGGATTATTTTTGAGCATACAAACACGCATTACACAAACGACCAGTTTATAGCTATACTAACGATCCCGTAGGCGTCGTCCGTATTAATCACGTTATCCAATCGCCCTGACTATGTGTAGTCCCACATCCGAAGAGAAAGAGGACACGAAGACCTCGATGACTCCATTAACCGGTTGGGGATAAAAATGTACGAGGGGTCCCAGACCCGCCTCGCATGAAATGTAGACTTTACTAGCACTACCAAAGGACCCTTGGGGACCAGTAGTATACAAGCCATTGAAAGTCCTTTTACGTTGTGTCAGGTCGGTAAAACCCAACACTTCGTAAGATAGAGGTCTTCAGGCCTTAAGATCAGGTCATTGGGCTAGCTAGGCCCAACAAACAAGATTTTACACTTTTGGGGCCCAAAGATGGTGCGTAGACGTCTGTGCACACTCGCATGTATATTGAATTCCCAAACGTTACTTGTATGAATTGTAGTGTCGTAGTGTCGTCGTGTTAGTAGTTTCGGATTTTATTTGTTCGAGACCGAACCAATTCGTTTAACAACGACTTTTGGTATTGTAGTGTATTGTATTTCGTCGATAGTCGCGGTGCCATTATTTGATCAAATTGCATGTATTGAATAAGCCTTGGAAGTTTTCTGTTTTCAGCCCCTCATTGTTTGTAAAATTTACTTTTTCAACCCCTTAATTAAATAATTTTCCGGTTTGGTCCTTAAATCATTTTTCTTGACATTTTAACACCAAAAATTATTGAAATTGATATTTTTCAGCATATTTTTCAATGAAAACAGTTTAAGTCCCTGAAATTTCAGTTTTCTCGGTTATAACCCTTCTTTTTCGCAATTTTGACAATTTTGGCCCAAATTGTAAAATTTTTGCAACTTTGGTCCTTTTTAAATTTAAAAAAACATTTTAAACCTTTGAAAAGGAC